CTTTACAGCTGCCTCCTGCCGTGATTCGGTCTCTGCAAATTGATGTGCTCGCCGCTAGATTCATTATTTGTCATTAGCATTGGTGCATTTTAGGATGGCATTGCTCGCAGAACTATTTTAGCTCCTGGTGCATTGGCATGCAGGGCCAGCAGCTGCAGAAAGCCTCGTAATTAGTTTGAAGTGTTAGAGTGGATGGTTTTTGCAACTCCTGAGAGACTGAACTCTGGGCCATTGTACCTGGTATTGATTGAAGCTCATCGGCTCTTGTTGTGTGTGTTCTGCTATGAAGGACATTTAGTCTGTAATCTTAACGGTTGCCTGGTTGATAATCATACTTTACAACACGGCCTGATCAGAGCAGAAGATAACTGGGGAATAATGTCTTTAATCCTGCCTGACTGATGAAATGGGTCCTGTGGAGAAGAGCAGCCAACAGGCTCAGTGGGTGTTCACCCCTCTATGGTATATGAAGCTACAGAGTCTCCCTGTTTTCAGTTACTTGGCCTCCTTCATGTCTTCTTCCAGATCATTAAATAAAATTTTTTGTTTGGAAAATGGCGATGAAATGTGAACGGAAGTTCCAACCACGCAGTGTTTTCTTCTGCCTATTTTTTTTTAATGCCTGCTGAGAGGAGAATCAGCATTTGTATTTGCAAATGAAATCTTCTTGGAATAAGTTGATTTGAAATACGTCCCGCTTGCTCCCAGCTAAGTTCGCCACCCCCCTTGACTTACGGAGGAGGTGTCATACAGATTTGTACGCCTACAGGATGACTCGTGCCAACCCCACCCCACCCCCACTGCAGCATTTCAAGCAAAACCTACATAATTGAAGGACATAAATTCCCTTTTCGCACCTAAGATGTATTTCTGGTGTTCAGTCCTAGTAAAAAGGAGATTATGCAATGAAAGTTATTAAATCATTTTCAGTAAGATTTGTTTGGGGAGGGAAAGTGCTGGGAAGAAAATTGTTTTCCCACTGGAACAAAAAAAAAACCCAACTAAACTTTGGTTCTCCAGTGGGATTACTCCAATGGTGAGATATTTTTGCTTTGTACAGGCACTTCCCACCTGAGCTAGGGGTAAATCCTGTCAGCAAACACAAGGGTGTCCGACCAACTGTGATGTCGAATTGCAGCTGGGCCAGGGGGACAGAAGGGTATCTGACAAACTGTGGTGTGGAATCATGGATGGTCTGGGGGACAAATGGGTATCTGACAAACTGTGGTGTGGAATCGAGGAGAGAGTGGGCTTGGGCAGCTCTTTTGCAGGCTCTGTGTGCTGCGGTTGGTCAGTGGTCAGTGAGGACTGCTGTAGAGTTACTGCCTGCTGTTTCTCTTTCCCCAACATGGGGTAACCATTAGCCAGAAAATTCATTTAGAAGAAGAGAACCCTGTGGTCTCACATGGCATTCCATCTGACAAACTGCCTGGTCCAGCAAATATACTGTACTGTATATCAGCCTTTGGCCTATCGACTTTTTTGTCCTACACCTGCAGTGCACCACTTTCTGATCCCGGGAGCGTTAATAGGATATGGCTTGAAGGGGAGAGAGACGCAGATCTAAATACTGTCAGCCTGTATCATAATTCATTCGGATGTGCTCTTAGTTGTGATGAAGGAGCATGCAGGCAATGTAAAAGAGATATCCTTAACAATTCAGAGGGCTTAAACACTAACAATAACAGTAACAATAATTGTTACATCCAATGTATTAACAAATCAGCTTGTTGCAGAATAAGGAACCTTAGTGTTAAGTATATCTGCCCCATGCCAATGCATTTATTGCAGCCATGACATTACCTTGTAGAATTGCATCATCCTAATTATTCAGAGTGGTAATATTGATAGTAGTAATAACCACAATAATAACAGCAACATTATCAATGGAAGTGATATAGAGTACTTACAGGGCAGCAATTTGTGCTGTTGAAATCTGATGTCAAGCTTGTTGTGAGCTCACTTTCTTCAAGAGCCTTCAAAGCCATGATAATATAGGTCCTCAGTTTGTGGGGTTTTGGCACCTCAAGTTCTGCCTTTAACAAAGTTGTGATTCCACAATGTTGAACCAGTAGAACAGAACAAGTGAATTCTGGTAAGAACTGCATGAGGGTGGTACAGGTGGCGTAGTGGTTGCACGCTGGTAGATACATTGGCTTCTGGGAAAATTGTCCCTTGGGAGTGTGCATGTTTGTGTTTGTGTGTGCACTGCGATGGACTGGCATCCCATCCAGGGTGTATCCTGCCTTGCACCTGTTGCTTGCCGGAACAGGCTTCGGCTCCCCCACCACCCGGAATTGGATGAAGAGAATAGCAAGTGGATGGATGGGTAATTGCATTAGACGTCAGTTAACACGTACAGTACATAGTGCATCATCATGCAGAGAGTCCTAATGTCACAAAATGTCCCCTTGACCATGTCAACACAAAAACAAGCATAGCACTGTGCAGTAGCTGGGACTGTTGGTGTTCACCAGGCCTGACACAGGTGATCTTGCAGCAGGCTGGTGTGTATTCTACAGGTGTGGCTCTGTGGTTATAAGATCTAAGATCTGACCTTTGGATCTGAGTGGCTCAGGAGGTGTGCTTGTCAGAAAAACAACATTTATAACAGCATTTTGATTTTTGCCATTGGGTAGCCTCAAGAGCTTTAACTACAACGTTTTGTACGATATGTTGCTTCGTTTTGGTTCAAAACCACCAGGTGTAGGCTCAAAATCTAAATTAAAAGGTTCGCTTTTAATTTATGTGTTTTCTTTTAACTGTCTTTTTTGTATATTGCTAATTATTTCTTTGTGTTGCCGAAGGCGAGAATGAATTGCTTCGGTGGAGGCCTGTTCCCAGAATGATTAAAGCCCTTGCCATCTCTGTGCTTCAGTGTCTCATATTTTACCTCCCCGCTGCAGTGCAGCGAAATTGAACTGTTCAGAACGGAACAGGCTTTTATCTGTAAGAAATTACAGGAGTTCTGCTTATTATAAACGCATTTAAAGCAATTATATTACATGGACAGTGAAACCTGTAAGCTAATTTTGCTTGAAAATTGGAACAGAGCTTGAATGTGAAGTAGCGGGCCAATGAAGAGCACAAAAGAAAATGTATTTTTCTGCAAGGCTGGCTGTGCCCAGCTCGGAAAAATCTGAATTTCTTGATGAATGTAACTCTTTCGCCAGAGAGTTCTTAAATGCCAAATGGACTTAATATTGTTAGATGCAAATATATTGGAAATAAAATTGGTCTCCATAGAAAGATGGATGTGAATGAACAAACATTTCACATGTTGCCAAAACCAAAATTATTTGTTGTCCGTCTGTGGGAAAGAGTTATTTTTCCTTTGTTATCGGTCTTGTACGGAGCCTGGCATGCCGCTGTGAGAGTGCTGTAAAGTACAGAATGAGTTTGTCTTTGTCAGGTGCTTTTTAGGAGCCCTGCTTTCCATGATGAACTGCTTCAAAGCACCTGCTGTGCTGTCGTGACCTTTTCATTTATATAGGTCTGTGTTAAATGTGGAAGTGGATGATAACTGAGGTTTGAATGCCTTTCTGGTCTGGGAACCCTCTTTTCGAGAATCCACGTTCAGTAAGGAAACCCCAGTTTGAGCACTAGAGCAGATGGAGGTATATAATCATTACAAATAATTGTGATCATTGCAAAATGTTCCAGTGACAGCTACAGGTCAATATGTCGACCATGTCCATTACCAGAGGATAAATACTGTTTCAGAATATTGATTTTTGGACAGGACTTTTAAAAGATTCCCTTTTTTTCCTGGGAAGATACTGGGCTGTCTCTAACAATACCTCTGGTCTGTGGCATTGTCACATAGTTGCTGACACTCTGATGGCAATTGTTTTTCAAAAAGTGCTCAGGAACAGTCTGAGTAAAAAACGTTCTTGGAATGTGTTTCTTCTTTTCCTTATTTATGACGTAAAACAAAAACCAATAAGAAAATTAGAATAATTGCAAACGAAAGTAGGTCATTCGGCCCATTTGATAGATAGTAGTTAATAGATTCCAGGATCTTATCCAGTCATTTCTTGAAAGATACTAGGGCACTGGCTTCAGTAACATAACATGGTACTAGTTCCACACTCCCACCAGCCTTTGTGTAAAGAAGTACCTCTTGTTCTCAGTTCTAAAGGCACTCCTAACAGTTTCCATTTGTGTCCACTGTCAGGTGTTTCTCTGCTGAAAAAATCAATCCTAGTCCAAAGGGTTGTCTTTGTCAATGTCTTTGAAGATGTTGAATACTTTAACCAAGTCTTCTCTGTTCATAACTAAAATTATTCAGTTATTTCTCATCAGATTAAGATACTCCTTTCACCCTAGAACTGATCATATCTTTTTAATATGTTGATGAAAATTATGTTCAGTGTTCTAAATGGGTCTAACGAGCACTTCTAATATACTGTATCTTCCCTGGAGTCATATGATACACTTTATGTGTATGTCCTCACATTATCTGCCTTTTATTTGCTTCCCCACATGATAACAGGTGATATGAATGTGTCAACATGAACACCTGTGTTTCCCATATTTAGGTTCAGTCTCAGTGCTTCAGATCTTATGCCTGTAGTTAATGCTTCTGTTACCTGCATGTAACACTCACCTCAATAGCAGCAGAGCAGTGACGAAAGCACAGGTAGTTTCTTGTGCTCCACTCGGAATGGAACACAGAAAGTGCCTTGCAGGAACAGTGTTTTGTTCCTTATAAAATTCATCCATTCATAGAGTGTCGCGGGGGAGCCAAAGCCTATCCTGGCAAGCAACAGGCACAATGCAGGGTACACTCTAGATGGGATGCCAGTTGATCTGAGGGCACACACAGCCACAAACACGCACTCACTCAGGACAGAGAACATGCAAGCTCCACGCAGATAGAACTCAAGGAGTGGAACCCAGGGCCACAGTTCTATGAGGCAGCGATGTGAAACAGTGCACTGCTAATGCCGCCCCACTTTTAACGTCGTTTTAACATTTCTTTTGTATTTTTTTTTCAGATGATGAAGTTTGCCTGGGATAACTACAAGAGGCACGCGTGGGGGAAAAACGAACTGAGGCCCCTAACCAGAAATGGACACGTAGGGAACATGTTTGGTGAGTCTGGGCACTGAGCCCTTATTTCAGACTGATGGGATTGAATTAAGACAGTGTCCCACCTGGGTTGGAAGGCAACAGGGATATTCACTCAGGGTTTTGGTCCTTTGAGCTCATATGGGCTCAGGTCACCTATGGAAGACTTTGCTGTCGTGTCTTTGAATAAGGATACCACCATTGTTGCCTCAGTAGACCCAGTTCCAGTTTTGCTTTGGGGTCAGCCTGCAGAGATCTGATACCCATCACTTGACAGTTCAGACACAGGATCACTCAAGCAGGGTCTTGCCTGTAATTAATTATTCTCCGTTGTGTTCCCATGTTTGTGTAGAATGTGCTGTAGCTTGAATTGCACAGATGCGGGGTCTTGCAAAAGCATTCACCCCCTTCTAGCCTGTGACGTCCCATATTGTTGATCTCCAAATGCTCTCTCCACGTTTCTGTGAAAATGAACATTTTTAAATCAAAAACGTGAATGCGCAGTCGGAACACTTTCACGGGTGGAAGAAGGTAGCTGTCAGAAAAAAGAAAACTGTTCAGTTTGAACATTCTTGTTTTGATTAAAGCTATTCACTTGGAAAAAAACAAGTATACATCATTTGTGATTCAATAAAATGGGGCAGTGTTGGAAGGTGTTAATACCTTCAATCACGTCAACGTCTTGTCGTTACTTAATCCTGACAATCTAGATCCAGGCTGCTGAACCTCTGTGCTCTTTAGGTCTAGACCATTGTAGTATATCACTGCCAGTACCTTAATCATTTCAGATGCAATTAGTAAGTCCGTGTAACCTTCATGTAACAATGAAGGTTGTTTTCAAGTGTTGGTAAAAATGGTGCAGAGACAAAGAGCAGCCTTTTGGCAGCCCTGATTCAGGCTTTGTGTAGACTGCAGAATGGTGCCTGATATGAGCTGTCCTCACCATTGGGATCTGGAGGAAACCGGTACTTTTCCAAGCTGGAGGGCTGCTTTCGTGCACAGGCTTCACACTGGTTTATGGAGTGATCTTGCAACAGTAATAAAATGAGATATGACTTTTACGATGAATGCAATTTTTTACCGGACCTGTGGGGTTTATTAAATATGGGGAGCTGTTGCAGGATTTTCAGTTATTTGCTAAACCAGATTGAATTTGTCTTTCTTTTTTTTCTGTCAAAGCGGAATACAAATCAAGGGTTTTCAACCCTGCTGCCTGCTAAATCATAATTATTTATTAATAGGCACCCTCTTTACAAGCTGACTTGCGATTATGTGTGTAATTGCATTGACAAGGGCCCGTGAAATGTTAGAGCTAATAGTAAAAAAAAGTTGCACAGTGGAGAAATTCAGCAGAGTGACCCACTGTAACTGCAAGACCTAACATACCAGCCACTGCAGCGGTATGTACGGTACAGGACGCATGCAGCTAAGCAGAAAGTTCAGTAAGAGGGGTGTAGAGCCGAAATCTGAATGAGCAAGCAGCCTCTTCAGACAAGATGTGCAGTAAACAAGACGAGATGTCCGCAGCCCATTGACCACTTCTGTGTAGCTGACAGCTCTTTGTGGTGCAATAGTGCATTAAAGAATTGCTGTTTCTTTAGGCATCATTTGAACTCTTTTGCCTATGAACTAAAGGTTACAGGCCAGGATGTTCACCCCTCAAGTCTCTTATCCAGTTTTGTGTCCTGCAGAGTAATTACCCACAGGAAGCAGGAAGCCCATGGGGAGAATACCTGGTGTCAGGCCAGCCACACCGAGAGCGATTTGTGAATGACAGCCACCTGTGATATTGAATTACTGGATTTGGCTTTTCTCCTCTTCGTAGATGCGACTTTAGTGGTGGCGATGTTAGTCACAGATGATGTGGCGTCAAGGCCTCTTTGAAGTCTAAAGATAACAAATGCTTTGGAGGTGCTGAGTTGAAAAGAAAAGGAAAGCTGTTTGGCTGTGTAGAAAACAAAATGGGGTCTGCAAGTGGGAGACCTTCTGGAAACCCCTCGTCGCCAGGGAATGTTGTGACATCTCGTTTGCTCGACAACAGGGCTTGTGGGCCACTTCCTGTTTCCCTACTCCAATTCAATTTCCATTTCCTTTTCAAAATCGATACCCCATTCCCCTCCTGCTCTCCATGAATTTCATTCACAGGTCTCTTCACAGCATCGCTGAACAGGCATGTGACTTGCCAGGCACTAGTGATTATGGTCACTGATGACAGATTTTACATGTTTGATGAGTTGTACTAATGTTTTGTTGGCTGTAGACATGTTTGCTCAATGTAGCTTATGTTTCCACTGTCTCTTTACTAAACCCCCCAGTAGTGTAATTTGCAAGACGTAGGATCTGATCCAGGTGTGTGTTCTGCAAGCAGAAGTTTTTTCATGCAAGGAAGACCCCAGACAACAACTAAGCAGAAAGTAAACTGTAAAAGTAAAGCCATTTCTTTTCTGAATCAGTGCTTACGAACTTCTGGTTAAATAATTAGCTCTTATCATTTAATTGCCACTTTATCATTAAATTAAAATTAATGGGCAAAAAAAAAGATCACACTGGAAAGATTGTCACACTCAAAGAGAAGGTGGAATAATTTATTTATTGCAGTTTGAAATGACTTTTTCGTGCAAATTTGAAGAACTACTCTGAAAAGGAACTGCTTGCGCAACTGATATTACTAATCCGATAAGCAAATGGATTTTTACACTTTTACATATTTTTTATTACGACTTGGGCACTGACAGTGCAGAAGAGATCTTCCTTTCTACCGCAGTATGAGATACTGCAATGCCATGTTCTCCCTGGAACAAATCAGGAATGAAATTGGTTACTTTGTTTCTAACTTTAATCCCTGGTTAACCTACAGTATAGGATGCACAGCAGAGGGTCTATATTTATGCCACTTGTACAGTATATCTATTGAATATCAATATGCTGCAAGTCACCAGTAAATTTATCAATCGCAAGACACTGAATTACTGCTCCCATGTGATCTGAGTGAACATCTGCTCTTTGTATATTCATTTCTCACCAGTAATATTGTAACAGGGAACTGTGTTCTTGCACGACCAAATTGTTGTCCATTCTCAACAGTCTGCAAATCCTGCTGAATGCTTAATGCTGAAATGAGGAAATTCCTTAATAAATCTTAGTGCACAAAACAAATCTTCTCTTTTTTCCCAGGCAGATTACAGATTTGTCCTGCAAGTTAATTATGGCTCCTTATTCTCTTGTCTTTGGTGCTTGTCTTATTACAAATCATTCTTTTTTTTTCAACGCATTTTAGAAGCTAACTTGATAAATGTAACAACGAAAAATTGTGTCTGGTCTAAAAGTCTAAATGTTCGTATCCTGTTAATCAACAGATGTCTGCAGTTTTCTCTTAACATTTTTGCTCAAAAACTCAGGCCATGGAAATGTGTGGAAAACGAGTTTTGGACTATGAATAGGGCAGCTTGTTACCTTGCCTGCCAGTAGCAAACTGCAGATATTAAATCACAGTAAGCCAATCGAGTTCTGATCAGATCTAATTTTCCAAAATGATTTATGCTTAGTGCTGCACAAATTGTCTGACATTTCCATCAACACTTCCAGAACTCCTAATGTGCAGATTAAATGATTCCTAAAGTAGGATACTGCATATTTTTTATTTATGGATAACATTGTGGCAATAAAAGGAACTGAAATGTTGTGTAAAGTGTGTAGTTTTGGTTAAACACTTTGTTTAAAAATGTATCTCTGATTTTGTTGAAGTTAGATTTCGCAGCTCCAGCCCTTAGGGTCTGCAATCCACATTTCTTTAAGTGTCTTTAAATCTTCAGTCACTCTAATGGAACACTATTAGAGACTGAAACACCTTAACCATGTTGTCAAACCTGACTGTGTAAAATGTAAGAAACAGCTTTTTGGATCATGAATGCACATCTTATTCATCTGTTCCAACAGCATGATTGGGCAGTTTGTTCTTGTCACCCACAACTCTCTGTGTAAAGAAATGTCTCTTGTTTTCTGTCTGGAATTCATAACCTCTTTATTTCCACTTGCTTCCATTGATTCACTAAGGTCACTGAATTAATCCTTTCAGGAAATATTTGATCGATCAATTGATTGATTGATTTAGAAAATGGACATTTGTGGTTCAATACAGTGACCAAGAAATCAGATGGGAGTAGGACTAGAAGACCCAGAGGACACAAGTGAGGAAACATGACCAAACTGGTATAAACACTTGCAGGCATTTAATTATAACTGCTTGGATCTCAAGAATTTCAGACACCACTGACTGCAGATGAAACAGGTTTGTTCCTAAATCGCTCTTTCCTTTTAGTATTCTGTGCACTCTCTCGACTGCCTTTAGCAGCTCACGTCGATGGGCTTCTAAGATTTTTATTCCTGCCTGCGGTTCAAAAGGTGAGGAACGCTGGCTTGGGCGTGATTAGGAACACGCAGCAAAGCAACTCAGAGTAATTTTGTACTGGAGCTGTGAGGCAGTTTTTCTCTCCTATTGTTAAAGACGGGGTCAAAGGTAGTGGCTTAAGGATAGCTGGTCATTTTCCTCAAGGAACTGGAAAGCAATTGCGTTAGTAAACAAATTGAATTTGGATCTCAAATATTAGAATGAAAGTGCTGCAGAATGAGAACAGCGTTTCCTATCACCGGCCTGCCATTTTGAAAGATGAGTGCTTACATTTACACTGAAAAGCAGTGTTGAGGTGGATGAAAATACACCGTTTGCACTACAGCATTACTGCCTCAGTGGTTACGAGTATAACGGAATGTGGACTATTTGTCTGCGCAGGGTAATAAACCGTTTTTCAGTAGTGCCACTTTTTCAAAATGAATATGACATTGCAATGAAAGGCTTGTCATTAAAAAAACTCTGAAGATTAACTATCCTTAACCCTGTCTGAGAAGGCCATTTGCTTATTCTGGGCTTTGGAGGCAGAGCACTTCGTTACAGATCAGTATTCGCTGCTGTGAGGCTCCCAGGAAGCATTCGTTCACATGTGAGAAAATGCAGTAGCCAGACGAAT